TCTCAGGTCGTGGAGGTTCAGCGTTTTCTGTTATTCAAGGCCCAAAACGAAGTAAAGTGGAGACCCCAAATCTCACGGCCAACCTACGAGCTGCATCACGCCGAAATCGATCATGAGACGCGGGCCTTCGGAGTTTCAGTCGGTGACAGAGACGAGACCCATTCTAGCCTGCAACAGGAGAGCAGGCGCCGCATCACCAGCTTCTGAACCGCGAGCCGACACGAGTCACTGTCCTGTGAGGGATTTCATCCGATGAGGTTGGCCCATGAGGTAAGTGTCACGAAGTGACCCTTATTGTGTTTTTATTACGCAGTGCGAATGCTTGTCGAGATTTCAATTGTGCGCAGAGGTCAGAGGTCAGCGACTTTCTTGACTCGCGGTTACCTCGGTCTCTCTTGCAGTGGACTGGGAGAGAGACAAATGGAATAAGACAGTCAGAAAGTCAGCATGGACCTGGATTCCAATGCCGCAAAGCTAGGACAAGCACGCTCGAGAATTCAGTGCCTGTTGAGATTTAAAACTGTTTTGCGGCTCGAAAACCCGATGTCGGATCTCGAGCTTCGACGATGACTGGGTGTTCCATCACCCGTCCATCAATACTCTGTTTTAAGTTCCAGCAAAGATGCTGCGCAGCATGGACTGCACCAGGAAGCAGAACTTTCACCACTACTTCAGCAGGCTTTTACCACCCTCTGCCGCGTGCCTTTGTGTGAAAAAGGGCCGACCTACGCACTTCCTCTCATGATGCGTGTCTCCGTTCACTCGTCCTGAAGTGCAAGAGTCACAGAACGGTACGTCCATTCCCCTCACTTTCACGCGCGAGGAGACACGCCGTCGGTCGGTGGGTGCGGCTTCCAGCTGAGCTAGGACAAAGCCTAGGGCCTAAGCCCCGAGCACTGAAAGCCTTAAGGATTAGTTGAACAGTGCCGCTTTTGCCTTAGAGCTCGCATTGCATACTGACTTTCCGTACATAGATCTTGACGGTCGCTTCCCTATGCACTTCCAAACCGAAGGGTCGGGCTTTCTCTGACCGCGAATTCCCACAGGACGGCCAACACAGCTGACCCGTCAACCACCATACTCCACCTTCGCCCGAAAAGCCCATCGTGCAAACATTCTGTTGTGGAACAGCTGCTTTGTCGTGAGATATCCCGTTCCCTGCCACTCACCACTATACTTGACTGCATACTTGGTGGAGAGGCCCAGTTCCAAGCTTTGAAATCTCAAGGCCCACTGCTGAAGGCTTCGGCCGACGAAGTGTTTGCACGCTGGCATCGTTGATCCTGCGGATTCCGGTGGCAGAACAGTTCTCTTCATCTAGAAAGGTCTTGGTAGAAGCGCTGCAGGAGTTTAGGGACTCGGCGGTCGGATTGCTGGTCCAACACACCAAAAGGTTGCAGCTCGCCTGGTTCTGGCACTGGACTGCACTGCATAGTCCGTGATCCTGAGCTTTGAAGAAAGCGCGGCTCTGAACAGTGGCACGGTAGTGAAATGCCTCGATGTTACCGCCTTTAGTGGTAGTATATCTCAGGCTGCAAGCTACGTGGGCTGAATGTATAGAGCTGTCGGGAAAGATGCAAAGGGGATGGAGTGAGTGCTGTATGGTTTTCAGGCAGAGTTCTTAGCAGGATTACCAGTACCAAACCCCATATCTAGACAATTGTCATCGTCGCCCTTTCCTTCAGGTCAAGTGTTCTTGATGCTGTTTTCGGGTTGCTGTTCTACCGTAGAGTTTGTAGCTTTTTCTGTCCGACCGTGAACCACATAACCACGCCGTCATTTGCCTCACCGCAGCACTGTTGCTGCAGTCTCGGAGGGACATCAGCAGAGCGCAGTTGTAGTATGGTCTTGTTTCCTGCTTAGGAGCCCCTGGCGACAGGCGCCTAACCTGCTTGGCGTCCACTGTAAGACAAGCTAGACATCCTCATCATAGCCCTGCCTGCGCTATTTTGCTCCTGTTGCCATGGAGCCCGACATGGAGTTGTCGGAGCATCCATGGATGAAAGGCCGGATGCTAAGTCAAGACTCACAGGTGAGCTTAGGGCGCTCTTGGAGCCGAGCAGTCCCTTTCTGTGCACAGTCACGACTGCAGGCGACGACTCCGAGCCCCTGACCAGAGACAAACGCGGAGAAGGGAAAGGTGGTGCACATGAGCTGCAGGAGCGGGCGGCTGAGGCTGAGACTTAAAATTACAGGCTGAGGCAGATTCCGCGGTTTCTGAGTGTTCTGCACCAGGATAGAACTGATGGAAGGCTTGGGTCGTAGCTCGGGTTCGGGACCAAAGATGAAAACGCACGCACACCTGCAGAGTAACCCTCGCAAAACGAGAGATTGTGAGAGTCTCTTGCCGCACCCTCAATCTCCAGGTCGACACCCATAAGCCTAAACTCTGCACAGTCACTGACGCCTCAATGCACAAACCCTTTGTCTTAAACAGTGCCAACTCGATCACCAAGCCCCCCTCTGAAGGAGCTGCGCCGCTACCTGGAAGACGCCTTTGCGAAGCAAGCGGCCACGCTGCAGGAGCTGAAGGCCCGCGGTGCGAGTCATGTTCGGGTTTCGGTCCGTTTACGTCTGGTTAGTCTTATGGTTTCGAGCTACAGGCTGGAGTTGCGAGAGCCTGGTCACCGGGTCTGAAAGCTTCACACAGATTGTCTAGTCCCACATTTGGCCTTATGTGCCAACTCTGGCTGGTAGAGGTCAACAGTTACATGTTTGTAGTCCGGTTCGGGCCGTCAAGGACCTGTCCCGTCCAGACGGATCAAAAAACAACAGTGAGTTCAGTTTTTACCGGAATCGTGCTCGGACCCCCGCCATCAGCAAAGCTTGGCGCTTGAAGTCTAGAGGCGGGCGACACGGCGACGCGTCAGTTGTTGTTGCCCCAGGTGCAGCTGCGTGGTACTAGCACCGTGCAGACCTTCAGCATTCCAGCGTCCCGGCTTTGGCAGTCGGCTTGTTGGAGGTGACAAATTTCGGTCTCGTGCGAGGCATCATATCAGCTTCAGGCGGGGCCTTGTCCGATGAGACATGATGCCGGGCTGGGCTTGGGCTCGGGCTCTCCTGTCCAAGGTGCCAAGATCAGCGTCACAAAGGGAAGATGCAGACACGGTCACGGAGTCCTGGGAAGGAGGGGCCGCCACCCGTCTATATGGATAGGCCTCGACATGCTTCGGCGGAACTCTTCGAAGGTAACAGTCCTGCGGGCAAGCCACATCATGTCTGCGACCCATCCAGATGCACGTACGTGTTTGTTTCTTTGTGTGCAATTCCAGACTCATGCGTTCGTACGTGTACATACATAATTACATATGTATAGGAACAGGACTTACCTTAGCAATTGTCTTCTGATGCAATGCAGTCATGTTGAGTCACAGTTTGCATCCAAGCGTCCACCAGTATGTACATGCATCTGTTTCTTAATGTGTCGGCAGGCTAGCAGAGAGAGAGAGAGAGAGAGAGAAGAAGCCGAGTGTGTGCATGACAGAGGTTACTTCCTCTGGAGCCCTCTTATTGTTTCGAGCACACGCTCGTGTTGCATCGTCCCGATGCGCAACCTGCTCCGAATTGCATGTGGTTTTGCTAGCCCCAGTCGTCGACAAACTCCGGATGCAGGCTACTGTTGAGAGTTCTTCGTGTCGTCGTCTTGTTCTCTAAGTCTACATGCCTGTCAGGCTTTTGTTTGCATGACTTCCTCCAGGGTCTGCTCTCGCTCTCTCTCTCTTCATCTCTCTTCTCTCTCCCGCGCATGCGGCTTGGCAAGGGTCGGGAGAACCCCAAAGTCGCCGGGCAAACGCTAGATGCCGTGGGCGGCGGCATTACAGTGATCTCTTAGGCAAGTTCGTTTCACAACGGTATGTTCCATCCTGATGATCACTCGCGATGAAACATGCCCTCGCGCGCTTCAGGTCGGGAGCCCTGGGGCTCTGTCTGTAAGGTCCCGGGTGTTGCAGCTGTGGGAGTGCAGGTTTGGGGGTTCTGTCCTGTCGCGCAGAACTGCGATCACAGGTCCTTCAGGCATCGGAACATCACAAGACCAAGAATGCTGTCTTTCGACCGTGGAGCCATGCGGACTTGGTTTGTAATTGAGTTCTTCATATGCCGGAAGGCCGCAGCAGCGCGTGGTGTATATACACAGAGAGACAGAGAGACAGCGAGAGAGAGAGAGAGAGAGAGAGGGAGAGAGAGCGAGCCCTAAACCCTAAACCCTAAACCCTCCCTGTCCATAACCCTGCCGAAAGAAAGAGAGCGAGCACACACACACACACACGGACAAACAAACACCACAGCAGCAAGACTTCCGTATCCGAACTCCGAGACGCCAATTTTTTTCCTGAGGCGAGCCCCGGCGCTAGCAGCGCTAACGAGGGGGCTCCGAGTCGCCCGGCCAGTCTGTAGACCAGCACGGCTTGACCACGAAGGGCTGTGCTTGGCTTGTGCTGTGGGTCTGAGGCAGCCGGTTAATGGTAAATCCGAGGGCGTCCTTGTTGCCAAGACCCTCAACTGGGCCTGGAACAGTTGGCCCTTCCACTGCCCTCGAGCTTTGGGTCAGTCTGTTGCTGTAGCACCTCGGGGCACAACTGATGTTCATCATATCCCCCAAAAACAAGCCACCCCAGCTGAAAACCTAAACCCCGGAACACAGAAACGATGCGGAAGCAGCCGGAAGCATCTTCGTCTTTGAACCTCGAGACCTCCTTTGCTTGCAGAAGGCCGGCTCTCGGCTGCATCGGGCCGTTCCGGGTCCTCTTTGGCTGTGCCAGCACCTGCGCCGGCGCCGCCATCGGCGATTGTCCCCAAGCTTAACAACTAAGACTAGGGCTTCCCGTTTCTGCTTAGGCCTGAAGCCTTGCGGCGGATTGCAGAGACGCTTGTTGAGTATTGCTTTGCAATTGCAGGGGGTTTTTTTTTGGGAAGACAGTCGACCCTAAACCCTTGGAGTCGGAGCCGAGACCCAGCAGTCCTCCACCTACCCGCGGGAGTCCGCTGGCCCGGTGCCCTCCATGGGCGCCCGGCAGTCCTTCTTCCGTGGAGCTCTGCAGGCGGCGTGGGACTGCGTCCCACGATCTGAGAATCGACTAGCCACATTTCTTGCTCTCGTATACAGCCCAGCAGGGGCAGAGCTCGGTCATAAGGTTCAAGGCGTCGGGGACAGAGGGCTGTTCAGTGTCCTTTTCTGGGTTCAATCTTTGTTTTTCAAAACAAAGGTGTTGAAGCAGTGGCTGCAGCACTTCACACAGCGATGGGGCCGATGCGTTTGACACGCGATCAACCGTAGCCTGTATCGAACTGGATCAAGGGTTCTGTTTCGGAGGCCCATATGAAGAAGGCCAACGTTGCCGGACAGTCTTTGGCCATGCAGAGGAGAGCGAGCTCTGCTGCTCGGAGAACTGGGCTGTGTCTTTCAGCGGGGTGTAGCACTTGTGATATGGCTTGTCGTCAACCCTTGCACGGTCCCGTGTCCTATTGGTCGCTTCGGCGGGGATGACCTCTAATCCTGGAAACTCCCACCTGAGCTTTCATCGACTTGATAGGTCCTGGAAAGCAAGTGGAGCCGCTCCTGCTAAGCCGCAACGAGGCCGGCTGTGAGGTGGATGGTGCCATGGGCATCAAGGGCCTTGCTCAGAGGATAGTCACGCGGCGGCAAGTCTCAGCACAGGAGTTTGGTGCAGGGTCTCCTTGTCCTTGGGGAGGGATGAAGGCGAATTGACACCGGAAGACTGGGACTCGGATATGATGGGATCCTTCCTGAGTTCCCAAGGTGGGCTGGCCCTACTTCACGCACTTCATAATGCTCCTGCTCCTCACCTGCCTATGTCGTTTTGGGACATTCGTAAGCGCAGCGATTGCTGCGATTGCAAACCGTGGCTACTCAGTGACATTCTGTCTCAAGATCGAGCACACGAAGCTCGCCCGGGGATACTTGCTGAGTTCCCTATGAAACTTCGGATTGAGCCTACTCTGTATGAGGAGCAAGTCTTGAGTTGAGAAACATTCGTGCATTCGACTCGTTGTGGTCCTGGCCTAGCGCAAATCTCCCACATTTATGCACAGCAGCTGGCGCAGTGGGGGCCGAGGGGCTTCTGCTTCGGGCTCTTCTATTCTAGACTTCTAAGCGACTGGTGAGGTTTTGGGGGGAGTCTGCGCGATTGAACCCGAGAGATCGTTTCCAGGCCTTCCGGCGCCAGTAATAATCAGCAGGGCAGCGCACGTGGTGCACCAGAAGATTTGCAGACCTGTCTCATGCAGTCGAGCCGTGCTCTCAGGATTCTCGCAAACGTGATCCTCCTTGGCATCGAGGTGGATGTGTCCTCCAGTCTCGGAGTCAATGCAACTGGGCACGAAAGTCCGGCTTCCAATCGAATCTGCGTGTGCACATGTTCGTCTTCGTCCGTCGGTTCCCAGCGGCAGCTCCGTAGGACCTGACGGCCAGCGCACAAGACTTTTGATCAGCCTTGAAGCTCGAGGATGTCCCTCAGTCGTTCGGGATCATTAACCTGGTCATCGTCGGCGTCTTCGTTGTCGAGGCGTGGCTTACCAGGGGCTTTCTGGATGGACTTCGCGCCCCTTTCAGGGTACCTTAGCCGGCTCTTCGCTTTAGTCATAGGCCCGCTTTCTAGCGTTTTGCTTGTTTTTTGGGCATATCCGGACATCCGCGGCCAGGTGACACTGAAGCTGCTGGCAATGGGGTGCTTCGCTGCACACAGCTCTTCGGAAACTCCCGGAGTTGTGAACATCCCAAGCTCCGAAAAAGAACTCCCCGTGGCCTCCCAGGTGCAGCACTTATTGGCTGGGCCCGGACAGTGCTTGGCACCTCGGGCCAAGTTTTGTCAGGGTATCCGACTTCACAGTCCCTCATGGCTCTGATGCCTTGCACCAGGAATATCTTCGACTTCTGCATCGTGGCGGTGTCTGCGACTGGGGATGAAAGCTTGGCATGTGGGGACCAGGGTCTGCCTAATCAGCTGATGTTTATGGGCTTCCAATTCAAGTAGCAGCCCAAGCAACCAGGCGAGCTTGGGCGCTCATACTGGAGGTGTGTAAAGCTTCCACAACCGTGCAAGCTGGGGATGGGAAGCACAATGTCGAGAGCTGCTATCAACCGCAAGTATGCTCAAGCATCGACGCCTTTAATGATAAAGTTACGAGCTCTGGGTGTGGATGCCTGGGTCAGCTGGATGGTCGGAAACTTTACACTTCGGCGCTGGCAGTTCTGGAAGTCGGGCTTGCGGCATCCTAAACCGACAACAGCTGGCTAAACAGAGGCGTCGAGCATTCATGCCGAGCACAGCCTGAATTCAAACGTCGTGGCAATCCTAGCGGTCTTAGCGGCACAGGGTTGCTGGTATGAGCCTATCTGGTCAACCGTTGTTCAGGTTAGCGAGAGCTTGATCAATTTCTGGGCGGAAGCTGTCTCGGATGATCCAAGCGAAATGGACGGATCGAAGCTTGGCAATAAGAACGCCTTGGCCGCCAGCAGATTGAGAAACTGTAGTTTAGTCTAGTCTGTTTCCAGCGGTTTGATCCTCTTCCTCCAAGTATCTCGTCCCTATCGAGCGGTCTGTCCTCTTTCTCAAGTTCTCCAGTCCCTTCGGTCTGTGGTGTGCTCCTCCTTCTCGCAGTCTCTGCCGCCTTTTGAGCTGTCTCCTCTGCTCCTCTTGCTCAATGCCGCTCAGTCCTACGCTAAGTTGCTCCCTAGTCCTTTCTTTCGCTTCGAGCCCGTTGGGGCCCCCAGGAACGCCCAGCAGCTCTTCGCTTCGCTCCTGCGCCTGGCCCGGGCCCTTCGGGGCATCCGCGTGGTGCGCCTCTTCCGTGCCCCGGTTGTGAAAGGGCGTCGAAGCTCCTCGTAAAAAAGGCTGGTCACTACCACCATCGAAGCCACGTCTTTCTGCCACTACGGTGAACACATACTGCCACTCCTGTGGCTACCATCCACTCCCACAGCCACTACTACTACCACCACTACTACTACCACTACGACTACGACTACGACTACTACCACTAATAATAATACTAATAATGATGCTACTAATGCTACTGCCACCGCTACTGACCTCTGCTACTAGTACAGCTATTTCTAGACTCACCAACTCTGACAGTGGAGCAACAGTTGCAGAGGCTCAGGTTCCCTGAGGCAGCGGATGAAGTTGAGTTTCTCCTCACGTCATGCTACACTTGTTGTTTCGCTGACATTCAATCGAGTTCCATGTAGCTGATGGGGATAAACAGCAGGGACTGTCAGAAGCTCTTCCTCGTTTGACAACAAGGAAGAGGTGGCGTCGGTTGTCCTTCGAGTTTTGCATTGCTTCACAAGGTTTGCGCTTCTTGCACGATTGACAGGAAGCGCCGGCACCACAACGAGGGTTTGTGTTGTAAATGCAGATGGCCATAGCAGCTTTCTTGGTACTGACAGCTTCCCTGCGCAAAGGATGGCAACCACGACTTGTGCCGTCGCATCCCATAACGATGATGATGATGATGATGATGACTATTACTGTCGCTATCACCACTTTCATGGTCATTATCCTTACTGTTACTATCAATATTAGTATTGTCATGTTTATTTTTGTTACTAGATATTACTATTGTTCGTCGTCGTCGTCGTCGTCGTGGTCGTGGTCGTGGTCGTGGTGGTGGTGGTGGTCGTGGTGGTGGTGGTGGTGGTGTGACGGCGATAGGATGTCAAACCACCGAGGTTGGGATCTCTGGGTGTCACACTTCAGCGACTCAAGCACCGACACATGAAAATGAACATACCTATGGACAAGCATTGCATCAAGCATCTCCTGCTGCGACAGCATCTGCCGGAAGCACTACTCTGAGGACTTGCCTCTGCAGTGCTTTCGGGTTCTCGCGCATGTAGTATGATTCTCCTTCATCTGAGCTGCATGTTCATTCTTGCGTGAGGTTACGTCAGCGCTCTTCGCACGCTGTTTGGCCCGCAAAGAGCCCAAAGCATGTCGGCCCCGAGCATCCAAGAATTTGTATCAACTTCGCAGCGTATCAAAGGTCAGTGTCACGAATGCCGTCGCCAAAGGAGCCTGTAACAGCTAGTACTTCATTTTGCCACCACTGGTCCCATTGGTGGCACCAGCAACGACGGCTTGGTAGACCGTGCTGCATTCGACTGACGCCCTGTCCCTGCACCAGCCCTAAGGCCATCGCATGAACCGTGGCCTCAGGGCTTTTACCGGCTTTGGAGGTAAACACTGGCAAACACAACAGTCGAATCTGACAGAATCGTATTGCCTTCAGGCAGCCCCGCACAGTGATCTGAAGCTTGTCTGAGGCTTGTCCTCTCCATTGTTGGCACAACTGCTTCACTCTTTTGGACACTGGTGATGCTCATGACGCTGGTCTGGAATTTGCCACATGGACGTTGTGCTGCGCTTTCCCTTGAGGGTTTTGCTTTGCCGAAACACAGCCATCATCCTGGATGCTGTTTTCGAGTGGGTTTCACTTTGGCACATGTGTAGACGCTCTCCTGCTCTGGATATCGAACATCTGAGTGCGAACGCAGCCCCGCAACCTGATCTCAACAGAAGAAGCTGGTGCAGCCGACGGGCTTGCATCTACTTAAGTTCTGCGGCAAGCAGCTTTACATGGAGCACGTGTGGTTCTTATTCTCGGGTTGCCCATGGTTCTGCAAATCCCGAAGCATCTCGAAGCTCAGAGCCTGGAGTCCGAAGTATGCCCCACGTTGCCTGGACATGCCTGGAGCCTTACAGGATCCTCTTCTACGGCTTCGGCATAGCGCTGACGCAGCTGGTGGTCGACCATTGCTTCTTGGTACATATGGCACACACGACCGCATTGTCTAGGCCCTGTCCTGTGCAGTTCAAGGCAGATGTTTAACTTCGAATTTTGATGCTGTTCACGGTCCCCGGCCAAGGGTTTCTTTCACTGGTCTGGCTTGCGCCACGATCCTGAACCCTCACTCTCTCTTTCTCTCTTTCTCTCTNNCTCTCTCTCTCTCTCTCTGTCTCGTCCTATTCGTTCCTCTCTCTCTCCATCGGTGTGTACGTGCCTGCTTCTCTCCGTCCCTGTGTTCCCACCAAGCTACCTGCAGCTCTTCGTGTTTCTCAATCTGATTGTCTTCAGTGCTCTTCGTGCTGTGTCTACGGACCTGTGGTCTTTGCTACTTACTTGCTGCTCTGTTCTCCGTGTAAGCTCACGCAAGTTCTGCGCAATTCCACTAGAGGCCTCTTCAACTTTCAGGGCCAACACTCTCTCGTGCTTGCAGCATTGCCAAGCCTCACGCACAGGTAGACTGCAGACCATCGCAGCTCAAGAGGACGCTTCCGGATCATGGAGTGCAGTCTTCGGCAGTTGCTGCACCCTTTTTGGGCTGCGCTCGGTGGAAGGGTTGAAAGGGCCTTAGCCCCAAAGACCGGAGAAATGCTCCTTTTTGGTCCTTCTTCCGCGGCAGAGTCTTTTCTCGGCTCCTGCGAGAGGACCCCAACGCCATCCCACGGTGTCCCGATGATCTCGGCATGTTCCTCGCCGGGAAAAGCTTTTGACACAAAGTTCGAAGCCTTGCATGCGGTTTTGCTGTTGAAGAGAGGTGTGTGCACTTGGGCATTCCCTTTTTCAAGGGAGCTGAGGGTTCACGCCAATCTAAACAGTTCTGCGAAGGATCGCATGGTCCGGTTCGACTCATCCCTTGGTCATTGTCTCTGCGATGCCTTGACTTGAGGTACTGGGAGTCTGTCCCTGAGAGCATGTTGACGCTGCTCGGCCTGAAGCACTACGCCACTGCTCGTTGATTTCAGCATCTCAAGAGACAGACTTGCTGTTCGCCCGGCCAAGCAGTCGACTTTCTGTGCGTCTCAGGTCAGGACTCGAAAGGTAAGCTAGATTGTCCATTCTTCTGACCCTTTTCAGGAAGCAGAACGTGCCTTCTGAACAGGCTCTCATGACTTGTCGGGATTTGCCAGGGCTTGGTTTGTTTTGGGTTTGCGTAGCCCGTATCAATATATTTAGTTGGAACCACAGCAATGATCCAAAAATCTTAGTTGTGGCAGGCTTTTCATGGCTATCTCCGGCGGCCTCAGTTGGGACGACGCCATGCGGCCCATACGTAAGGCAGGTTCCAGCATGCCGCTGATACTTCACGGTACTTCTAGCATGCAAGCCCTTATCCCCCAGCGCAGGTAGGTGCACTACGTGCACTTGCCTTGGGCTCCAGAAACGGGGGCGTTTCCTTCGAAGCTCACTGTTTCCGGTGCACTGCGCAGGTCTCAAGCTTGGCTTTCGCTTTGGATCCTCGGCTTCACCGGTGGTGATTGGGGGACTTGGGGTCTTAACTGGAGTTAGAATTAGGTGTTCGTTTTGGATGTATCTTTTGCATCTTGGACGGCGAGGTTTCACTGTCCGTCCTTGAAGCGTCCATGGCATGTTGGATTCGTGGATGCCGGCATCTTGGGATCCGACAGCGGTCCAGCCAAGCAGGTGAAAGAGTCGTGGTAGCTTTCGCAAGCGTTGCAGGCCGCAAGCAGAGTATCGACACGCGGAAAAAGGCAAGTTCATGCGAGCAAGCTGCGCTTACCAGCATGAAAATCATGGAAAGCACATCCATGTCGAGAAGTTTGCCGACAGCGCTCACATCGAAGCAGTGTGACAACGGGCACCCTCGTCTAAACAGCATAGACTGGTTTCAATGGCCAGTGATGTACCTGCCTGCAATTACTACGAAGCGCAGGTATCCCTCCTTTATTGGCTTATTTAAATTACATAGGAGATCATGGGATATGCCAACCTTATGGTGTTCGGTTATGTGTTTTTGAGTTCCTAACTACGTACACGTCGCAATGCTCAGAGTCTTTGCATGTAGCAGGAGAAGGAGGAATGCCGACATTCTCGCTAATTCCCAGGTCATCTTGTACATCGTAATTGCAGTGTTCGCGGTTTTGAACGTCGTCACTGGCGTCTTCTGAACCTCGGTCCAGACACTATCAGCAATCAAGAGCAGGTTGCAACCCAAGCATGAAGGGCGCACACGTATAAGGAGGTTGCGAGAGAGTCTTTCATGTGCCAAGCGCTTGCTTCACTCGTTTCTTTCGAGCTCTGCCCGTGTTTTACCCCGACCTGATAGATGCAGTTCGTGTCGAGAATTAAGTTTTGATAATCTGTTGTGCAGGAATGTAATGGTCTCTTGCTTGAACAACATCAGTTGGAGTGCTGCATCTTCAGCCGCATGGTAGCTTGTTTCCACCCAAAGTGCCGCTTGAAACCAATCCAATATGAGTGACTTGTGTGCTGGCAATTAGGGCTGCACGTGACGATTGCTCCTTCAGATTAGATTGAGCATCGCATCCATAAAGGCTCCCAAAGGCACTGGCCGCCAACTTGCCATAACCCTGAAAACAAAGCTATGAACTGGGGCCTTTCTGCACTGCAAGGTAACACGGCGATCGAAAGCGCTAGTGCAGACAAGGAGGCCTCAGTTTCCTTGCTTTAGGGGGTGGACGGTCTTCTGAAAATGGCGCGCGGGTGAAAGGAGTCTGAGAGACTTACATGTTCTTGGCATGGCAAGGAAGGGACTTGTAATTCTGGGTGGGTCGATAGTACGTGCAGCTGGTCAACTCCGATTCGGAACCTGACTCGGAGCTTCGGGGTTTGGCGATTTTGGTCCGCTCACTGCCTTCTGGGAGCTGCACCGGGATGATCCGCCGTGAAGACAAGGCCATGTGCCAGGTCCAAACTGCAAGGATTCAAGGAGCTCGCATGTGGCTGTACAGCTTATAGTTCTGGTGTCCTTTACAACCCCACGTCAAGCCGTCTTCATCTACAGGTGCGCATGTCAGTTCCCTGAAACCGAATCCTGAAGCTGGCGGCGTGACCTCAGCAGAGTCATTGGCACGTTCAGCTTCTATCAAAATGCTGCTAAAATGTTGTGATCTGCCCTCCGCCCCATGCTTACCAGGTCGCGACGATCAAGCAAGCACGAAAGCGTGCGGCACAAGTCGACCAGCTCAAGGCGACGTCGCAAAACTGAACAGGTTTCTCATGTTATTACATAGCCATAATTGGTGTCTACAGCGAGAAATATTTGCAGGCCCTGACGCCCTTTTTTTGAGTTCTTTGTTGAGCCGAGAGTTCCATCTACAGAGCCGCATAGCCATTGGGGATCGTCTGTTTAAAACCTTCCGTGTGAGGCTCTCTGCCCCTCTCTCGCTCTCGCTCTCTCTCTCTCTCTCTCTTCTCTCTTACTCTGCCGCTCCTCCGTCTCCGTCTCCATGCTGTTGGTTGCGTCGAGTTGTCGGCTCATAGCATGTACGAAGATGGAGTCCTGAGACGAAGGCAATCCAGCAATCCTCTTGGCAACCCGCAGAGAGATGAAAACGGAAAACGGGAGCTTTACAAAGGCCCAAAAGACTTCTTACATCCCAGTGAAAACTTTGAAGTCTCAACCCTCAGCCATCTTCTGCCCACAGTGCAACCCCTGGAGAGGACATTTTCAAAGAGCTCGACCATTCGGGCTCCAACAACATCAGCCTCCAGGCGACGCTCTGGGGCTGTCGGCTCGACTAATCCGGGTAATGCCGCATCAAAGCTTTTCAGGCTTTAGACGAGCCGCTTGAGGCTTCATCCACGAACTCTGAACCTGGGATGCTACCCAAGCAAGTGACAGGACATGGAGGAAGCCATTGACACGAAGAAGTTGTCGCACTTCTTGGACACTCGGCGGGTTTTCGATTCTGAAGCAACACGGCCGGACATGTCAAAGCACTCCTCCTTGTTCCAGAGCAATCACGCCCGCAAGGATTCCATTGGAATCTCAACCGATGATGTCTGGACTTTCTTCATGCTGCTGGACCGGGATGAAAACGGCCTCTCAGCCGCAACCAACTGGCACCTCCTAGAGCGGAACCAGTTCGTATCTGCAGTGAACCCAAGGCCTGATCGATATCGAGGACGCCTGGGGCGCTGAAGTCAGATCGGCTTGGGCTTGTTTGGAACGCATAGGACAGAATCGCTACTGAGAAGCAGCTTCTGTACAGTAGTCTCTCAGGCCATTTCCCAATCTCCCTCGGCCTTCGGCATCGCGTCAAACCAGGGCCAGACGCATCCCTCGAGCGTGTGCCCTTCCGCTTCAGAGCGGCACGACTGCTTCGGAGTGCATATCAAACTTCCTGAGAGGCTCCACTCAAAGCTCCCAGCACGATGTTACATCTGTTACGTCTCATTCTCGAACAAGATGAGACACCTGAAAAACAAGCAACGTGGCGACGGCATCAGGAGTTTGTCTCTGGCTGCATGCAGCTTAACGGCCCCGCAAAGAGCCGCTTGGTTGCAACCCGACACAGCTCGGCTGAGGCTTTCCTGGGGAGAACTTTGGGTAGGCTGTATGGCCACAGAGCCGGGACTTCACGCGGACACTTCTAAGCCTCTTGCTGGGACAGATGCCAGGCTTGCAGCTGGCAAAGATGAGCTACGAGAACAAGTTGACGAGACAAGCGCTCAAGAAGCTCAGCGGGGACAGGGCAGCCGGGCAGGGCATAGGCAGAGTCCTCTTAGAGACATTATGGCCTGGAGCTCTAGAATCTACATGAGGTTTGATGGTAGGTGCCGTGGCCACAGCCCAAGTCGGGGGCACCGAATTCCCACGCAGGAGTTGCGCTTCCTGTCTGAGCGCATCAACCATCTCGCACCTCGGGAGCAACTTCTCGAGATCTGATCGCTGAGTCGCACAAAACCCCCAAGTCAGGTCGTTGCTAAAAGTCAGGTCTCCCGAAGCTCGTTGTCGAAGCAGCATCTGTGCAGTTTTCCCCGGGAGCCCTGAGGGCTCGCCGTCAGAATCTGCTTTCCCAAAGGGGATCCGGCAGATAGCAGAAATGGGTTAAAGTTAAAGCTGTTCCCCTCCGGCCCCCCACAACCTCGACCGTAAACAGCTCTCGCAGCGCAAAAAAAAGGGGGGGGTGTCCGGAGACCGCCGAAGTGGCTTTCGAAGCGAGGGTTCCCTGTTCCTGGCCCTGGGGGATTCCGCAGCACGGGAAACCCTCGAGCTTCACGGGGCCAAAGTTTATGGTCAATTCCAACACGATGGGAAGCATAAGGCTGGCACACAACTTCTGCTCCGTCCATGGATTCGCCAAGCAAGGGCGTAGCGTGCACAGAAGCACAGATAGGTAAATTGGCTGAAGTGAAGGGAAGGAAGCCTTCTACAGATCCCAGGCCCCCATAACCAACGAGGCTTCGTTATTCAGGCCACTTTTGCTCATAGGCCTCGGTAACCACGACCTGAGCCGGGTCCTCTAGCATAGACCAAAACCGTCAGACACGACTTCGAGTTTCCGAGTTGATGTGTCAGCCACGGCCTTGAGTAGTTCTTCCCATCGTGATGCAGAGCCGCGCTTGCCGGCAGGGAACGGCGCCCAGAAAGACATGTTTTCACACACGGACCTTCAAGGTCCAGACATTGTGGAACCATGGAGTATGACGGAGTATGGGCGCCGGTTTCACGGTTTGGGATTCAACACGCACACCCGAGCCAAAATTCCTGCAAAGGCAGCGCGGCCTTGCGAAGGATGGATCCCCTTGGCTCACAACGCTCCAGAACCCCAGAATTCCACACAGTTTGGTATGTCCCTCACCCTACAGCCAGTCACGTGAAGCAAGGGGATCTTCACCGTGTAAGCTAATGTTTCAGCTTCTTGGGCAACTCGAGACAAAGCCTGGTCCACAGCCGTTCTTGAGAGGACACCCCGCCCAAGATGAGTGGCTTTGCTTCAAGGGGCCTGGAGAAGATGGTCCACCGGCCATTTCGCTGGAAACCTGCGAAAAGGCCTGCAGCTCGCCCCAGCGGTAACTTCGGGCTGCGGACGAGGGCCGTATGTGGCCGTCAAAAAAAGCGGGCACGAAATCAAGCAGGGTCAGTGAAAGCATGATGTGGCTGACGGCGTTCCATGCTGATATTTTCCGCACATTGTCTCTAGGATTGGACGGGTGTTTCAAGGGTTCTTTGTTGATGGGGCTAGATCCGAAGGCTGAATTCTGGCGATGAGCCCAGCAGTCCTGGAGAATCGCTCCCATGATTGGCTCTAGAAGGAAGCTACTCCTTAACGGACTGTTTGCGCAGCTACTCGGCTAGTTGCAACTAAGCAAGATCATGCTGAGAGGGCATCGGCATAGATTCGGATTCTCACGATCCTCTGTGATTTCTGCAGAGACTGGCTTCTCTACATGCTGAGCAGCACGAGCCCGGTCTCGCTTTCTTGACTATTCAAGCTTCTTCATATTCTGCAGATGCGAACCCTAATCGTCCTGAACCCCACGAAGCATCCCCCACCCCAAGCCTGCGTAAGCCTCCAGCTCGGCCTTCGGAGTGCAAGATGAATTCTCTGAAGAGGCTGGAAGGGGAGTTCATGTTGGGATATGCTGGCAGAAACACCCCCGTTATCCCAGCCGCTATGGTAAGACCTTAGTACTTCCTCGACTCGTTGCCCAGCGCTGCAAAAAAAACTCCGCGAGCCATGGCCAAGAGATGTGATTCTGGAGCCAGCGGTCAGAGCAGGCGCATGTCATGCCGGGACTTTCGGAGTCGGAATGCCAGCTTTGCAGGGAGAGCCCTACTTGAGACATCAATGGGACTAGCGCTTTATGTCACAGTTGCTCTTGTGAATTCGTGCCTGAACGCTTAAGCTGTGCTGCTGCTACCTACCACCCAAGGCCTGTGGTCATGACTCTGTGAAGGGGAGCCACGGAGAAATGCATGGAAGTGGTTGGAGCCAAGGAACTCCTTGAGCCTGTGAATGCTGCATCCTCAAGACATGAGTGCATGGTAGAATCGCAGCGGAGCACCTTCTGGCTTTTACCGAGCCATTGAATCGGAATGCATGGCTATTGGCAAGTTTCAATTCAGGCTCAATCCCTGAGGGCCGAAATCTCTACGACAAGCTTTTGAACGAAGATTGGCTTTCATACGTCTGTAGTACATGAATGATGCGCAGTATGCCCGAGCGAAGGTGTTGTGGTGTTGCGGGCCGAAGGTACAGCAACTGTTCCTCGCTTGAAGACTCCATGCTCCTCCACTTGTCAGGAAAGTCGGATGAGCAAGGCGGGGCAGCGCATTTTAGGAAGGGTTCGCGGTTTACTCGACGTTCTGCCCATACGGATCACACCGAAAACAAGAAGAGAAACTCCCAACCGGGAAGAAAGAGAGCATCCCCATCTCTCCGTAAGCACATCCAGTTTTCGTTCCAGGGACTTCGCAATTGAATCGACGATGTTCCGCTTGCGAGTTGGTAAAGACATTTCCTCTCTGCCTTGCTTCAGGTCGAGGGGCCCTGGAAACCACCCCAGGAGGCTCGCGATACTTCCCTGGGCTACGAAAGTGGTCAGCGCGGTCTTACCACGGGTTGCACCGCACGTGGGATTAACGAAACATGAAAAAGCAACAACTTCGTGCATGATTATGCTCGTCGCATCGTTCAATTGAACTGGGCAGTATGATGCATCATGACTTCTTCTACTTGTAACTTCGTGGTCACAAGCTGCGTGGGCCAATCGTTACGTGTGTGCGCATGTATGGTTGTAGGATGCACACAGGCATGTACATAGGCCTGTCTATCTGTTTGTCTGTATGCATGTCTGTTTGTCTTCACACATGTTGCTACATACATACGTATCTGTGCGTGTGTGCGCACGTGCTTATGCATGTGTGTGTGT